GTTGTGGTGAGCAGATCTGCTCCCATGGACTATGGGCCAGGTTTGGAATGAGTTTGAGGGGCCAAGGCCACTAGAGAGCCCTCTGTAGTAGAATGGGGACTACTGATTTGAAGAGAATCTGAAAGAGCCCTGCATCTGGGGGCCTCGATTTTAAGTGCTGGAACTTGAGATAAAAGGAAGGGGAAGGATTTTCAGGGCAGAACTGGGAGACTCCCACAAAGAAATGGTTGTGGGAAAGAAAAAATTGGCACAAGCTACTCCAGTTCGTGCTTCCGGCTGGATAGTGGAGCCATTTACACTGAGTTCCTTGAAGGGTCAGGATCTTCATAGATCTAGAAATCTCCCACAAAGTTCTCTTCATGAATTCTGGCCAGAAAAGACTAGAGAGGTGGTTTATATAATAAAGATGAAATTTAATGGCCAATGAGTTTATCTTTCTGGAGATAGCTTGCCTTATTTAAATCTTGTCACGTACAGCCTTAGTTAGGGTTTCTAGCACTGACAAAATACCACGACTGAAAGTAATTTGAGAAGAAGGCTTATTCCACCTCACACTCCTGATCACAGTCTATCACCGAGGAAGTCAGGGCAGAAACTAAATAAGGCAGGAACCTGGAGGCAGGAACTGAGGCGGAGGCCCTGGAACAGGGATGCTTATTGGCTTCCTCCTCATGGCTTGCTCAGCCTGCCTCCTTATAGCACCCAGGACCACCAGCCCAGAGTGGCACCACCCACAGTGAGCTGGGCCCTCTCATCTTTCACATCAGTCATGATAGACACAGGCTTGCACACAGGCCCATATGTGGAAGCATTTTCTCAATTGGGAGTCTCTCTTCAAAAATGACTCTAGTTTGGGTCAAGTTGACCAAAAACTCACTAGCACATTGCCCATGTGACTTTCCTCATCTATGGAGTTCCGGGCTCTTTCAAGCCTCTGCTTTCAAAGCAGCCCATCAGATAAACTCTATTTGATTCCTCGCCAAGCCTGAGCTCATGGTCTATACTTTGGTGTGTTTGGCTCTTCCTTTTTCCATGTACGGATTCCCAGCTTTTTCTTCAGAGGTTCTTTCCCACCAACTGCTCCCCCAGACACCACTGACTCCAGCCAATCCCATGGACCATGTCTCCTGCTTGTGTGCGCCCATGGTTCTCCATGGCTGTTCCCACTGTGGAAGGCAGCAGAGCATGGCGTAGCACAGGGCTGTCTTCTAGGCAGAACTTCCAACCCTGGAGAAACCTGACCTTGTCTTAGGCTCCAAAGATCCCAGAATGATGCCATAGGTCAGGAAAAAAATGTTAAATCTCATTGAATGTGACTAGATTAAAAGAGTAATATCCCTAGGGAACTCATCTGACCATTTCAGTCTCTTGCTTAATTAATAGAATATAGAGATGCAGATACAGCAAAACATATCTAAAGAATATATTTTTAAAAATCACCCTAAATGGCTATTTAGGCCCAAAGTTAACCTTAAACCAGTCATGCCAAACATAACACCTTTCTTATCTGCCTCTCACCTCTCCTTTGCTCTTCCTGAGTAATGTGGGGCCCATGCTTTTCTGAGGAACAGAGGAAGGGGCTGGGGAGGAAGATAAACTCCTACAACTTTACAAAACTCCCCCTCAGCCCTTCTGTTACAGCCTCTGCATGAGCGTGCATGCTCAAGTCAGTCCCTCACCACACAGCCATGCAGAGCTGATCGGAGCAAACACAGGCAAATACTTCCTCCCCTCCACAACTTTTGTTGTGAGATCCATGCTTTGTTAGATGCCCAGAAATAACACCATCGTGTCTTGCTCACCTTAGTGTTTCTGGAGCCTTCCATCTCCAGGAAGTGTGTGTGACACACTACCCACGTATTTTAAATGAGATTAACTTGGTAAAGTAACCGTGTGAAGCCCCAAGGGAAACCTCCAAGAGGCCTTTTCACTCCGTCCTCAAGACAAATGGACAAAAGCAGGAGCCATTTGACACGTACACATGGGAAGCTTTTCAATCCAACCACATCTGGATGCAAATCCAATCACTTCCAACCTCTTCTACTTTCATGAAAGACGAGGATGAAGATGATGGTGATGAAGATGCCGACACTCGTGTGCTATGGCTGTATGCCATCATCTGTTCTGAGTGTTTTCTGTACATCAGTCTATTTTATTCTTAAAGGAAACAAAGGGAAAGAGGAAGACTCTACCATCACTTTGCAATGAAAGAATGTGAGGTATGGGAAGGTGTAGGAGTTATCCCAGCTGGAAAAAAGTACGGCCAGAATGTAAACCCAGGTAGTCAAGCTCCAGACAGTTATGCTGTGCTCTGCATCCTCTCCCAGGGCTCAAGAGCCCACCATCATACTTATAATCTCTATTTCCTGGGCTGTAACAGGAGCCCAATAAGGTCAACCTCAGTGAAGCCTAAAGGAGATTGTGTAAGTAAAACCCTGGATACCAAATAGCCATCTCGACTGGAGTGTCTTTAATTTTCAGCTTGCACTCATCAGATTCCTAAGAAAATATAATAATCCTGAAGTATTAGCCTTCCCAAGGACAGCTAATGCACAGGCAGTCTAAATAAGCTAGAGCCATGGGTATTTGCTTATTTGAGCTTTTCACTGATCTACAAGTGGACTTAGTCAGTGGAGACTTCTGTCTCAGCATTGTCAAGTACACTGGTTTCTGTTACAGGAGTTCAACAGCCAACTGGAGTATGAATCAAAAGTTGTAGTGCCCCAGAGGAAATCAACTCTCCAGATTTGAAGAAGCTACTTGGAAAGGTCCTTGAAGCGTCACTAGAGTAGATCCAGTAAGAAAGAGGGACGCTCAGTCTACTGAAGCATTGGCTTTGAGAATTTAGCCAGGACCAGAAAAGCACAGGTTCCCAGCAATGGTGGAGATGAACGGTGCCTGGACAGCTGAACGGGGAGAGGCTGGTAAGGGCACAGACTGTCAGTATAGAGTGTGGGATGGATTCTCTGTGCGGTGGAGAGTGCTGGAGAATTTCTGAAATAAAAGGACTGAGACCTGAGCCTTAGAACATAATTGCTGCAGCCTTTAGTGGGGGTAGAAGTGGGGGTAGAGGTTTCAGGAAGGCGGTGTGGACATGGAGGGTGCATTCATTAATTGGTTGCTGGCATACTTCTGTAACAAAAGCTGTGATTTATTTAGTATTGAGCTAGCACACTTCACTAACCAAAACTGCCCTTAGATTGAAACATTCTAAAAATATAATACGTTCTACATTGATGTATTAACATATGCACCAAAGTACCCCAATCTGTTGAAGTCCTGAGAGGTAAGGGCTCAAAGGTGTTTGTAACTGAATGAAAAGTGAGGTCCTTACAATTTTTAATGAAAGTTAAGATCAGAATTTAGGGCAAAACTGCCATATATATTCCAGACATGTATAGACATATCTTTATCAAATTTTATAAATATTTCCCCTGAAAAAAGGAATCTGGGCAGATGGAGCATAAGCAGTATATACATGTTAAGAAATGCAATATCTTCAAGAGGAGCAAGTGGTTTTTTCTTTGTGTTTCCTTAAGAGAAGTCGATAGTGAAAATTCTCAATTGAAGTGACAGCAGAAAAAAACAGCCCAATATGAGCAAACAGGCAGATCTTTGTCAAAGCGTCGAGTAACTACTTTCGGCTCACACCCCTGCAATGAAGACAGAGGATGTTTCAAGAGACTAATAGGACATAGCCAAGCACATCCCTGCAGTGCAACGCCATTACAGGGAGCAGAAGGGAACAAAGCTAATATTATAGCTCCCATCATGTCTTCTTCCAGAGACCATTTCTTCAGAGTGCCTCCCAAGTCCATCCCCTTAGTTGGTCATCTCTGCTCAGATTGATCACCTTTGGCAATAATGTAGGTGGATAGGCTCCTAAGACACATTTTTTAAAATCACACCTTGACTATTACTGTAAGCATTGTTCCCTCCTCTGATTTAACTGCACACATTTTTAAATGAGAATATTTAAAGCGATCTCTGTAATTGCCCACCGTGTTTTTTGGGGCATATAAAAATCAAATCCACAAAGTGATTGTACTAATACCTAGGGTCTTTATGTTCGCCATGTGTTCAGCATTGGTTTGAGAGTTGTACATGGATTGATGGATTTAATTGTTGTAACTGTTGCTGGAGGCCATAATAATTTGTCTAGGTTTATGCTTGAGGAAACAGAGGCATTAAAAGGGCAATTATCTTTAGCACAGGTAATCTTCTGACCTCGGCTAGTCTTACTTCAGAAGTATGCTTCAGTGTATTCACTGGAATGTGTTTTAAATGGAATTTGTCTCCAAATGAAAAGAGTTTTGAATCCCAGCACTACAAAACAACGACAAAAACAACCACAGCTAGTAATTGGCTGTTCTGCAATCCTCACCCTGTTCTGAATGAGAAATTACCTGAGGAAGGTATTCTGCATTTAGCGAATGTTGAACTGAATCTCAAGCTTTCCCCCAAGGTTGCTGCAAGATTTTATGACTAGAGAAGCATCATTCACAGCTACACCAGAAAAGACATGGCTGCCTTTCTCTGCCACAAGACACTGAGGAGTCAGAGAAGGAGGAGGAAGAGCAGGAGGAAGAGGGGAAGGGGGAAGCTTCAGTAATGATGTAAGTCAGCTCAGTGGCAGGGTGAACAGTTGTTAATTGGACACATCTTAGAATCACTTAAAAGATGGTCTCAGTAGTGGATTAGCTACATTGGTTTGGCCTCTGGGGATTATCTTAATTAAGTGGTCTGGTAAAACCCAGCCCACTGTGGGCAGGTCTATTCCCTAGGCAGAGGTTCTTAAGCTGTTTAAGAGTGGAGAAACTGAGCTAAGCACAAGCTAGTGAATGTGTGTATGCATTCATTTCTCTCTGCCTTTGATTGTGGATGTCTTGTAATCTGCGTTCTCTGCCCTCCTGCCTACTGTAAACTTCCCTTTAACTATGGACTATAACCTGGAATGCTGAACTAAAACAAATCCTTTCTTCTCTCCTGATTTGTGTTAGAGTGTTTTGTAAGCACAACAGAAATGAAAACAGACCGAGCCCAAGTAGAAGAAACATCCCAAACAAAGCATCAACTCCCTGCTGAAATGGCAACTCTTTTCTCACTTCCTCAGTAGCTGTTGGGTATTGCTGACAAACTCACAGAGAAGCCAGCTAAGCTAAATGGTGCCTGTGGAGTACAGAGCAGAAGAGAGTATCCACAAGTCTGGCACCGTTCTTTGGCACCAAGTCCCCCGAAAACCATCATGGTAAGTACCGGTTTTCTTTTTGATCTTTTAGCACAGAACAGCACACACTACTTGTAAGCAGAGCTGAGCTGTGAATACCACAGCTATGGGCCTGGTTTTGCCGATTTCTTGGTAGCCCATTCACTGGGCTTCACCTCAGCTTTTCAAAAGAGAAAGTCTTTAGTGATTTTCCTGGCATTTCCTTTCCAGATTTCAGGGAAATTTGGATTTATATAATTTGATATCTTTGACCACTTGGTCCACATAAACAGTTATCAGCATTCTCTTGGAATAAGTAGAATATAATAGTATGACAACAGATAATATCATGTCAGAATTCTGGACCAATCTGTATTTTCTCTCATTCTTGTCTTCATTGAACTTACAACATGTCATGCACATGGCATAGTTGGACATAGCTACTTTTTATAGATCTGAGATCACATGGCATAGCATGTGCTAATGACATGAATGAGAAATAGTCTCATCCTATCAGGCCATCAGTTAACAGTTTATAAAGATGGTGTTTCGGTTTGCTTTCCATTACTATAACAAACACCATGACCAAACACTACTTGGGGAATGAATGATTTATTTCAGTTTATATGTTTTAATCACCATGCATCATGAGATGAAGTCAAGGCTGGGACTCAAGGCAGGGACCTGGAGAGAGATGTTGAAGCAGAAGCCACAGAGGAACGCTGCTTTCTGGCTTGCTCCCTATGACTTGCTCAGTTTGATTTCTTACCCAACTCAGGCCCACCTGCCCAGGGGGTGGCACCACCCACTGTGGGCAGAGCTCTCCCACATCAATCAGGGATTAAGAAAATGGCCCCTAGACTTGCCTACAAGTCAATATTATAAAGGTGGTTTTCATTTTCTCATTCCTCTTCCAAGAAGATACACTTGTGATGGGTTGACAAAAGCCAACCTTCACAGACGGTTCTAACTCTTCACAGACGGTTCTAACTCTTCTGGTGTTGCTGTGTGTGCTTCTTTGCACCATCACTTTGCCCCTCTACCTTCAATAGAGTTTGTTGTTTCCTCTCACTCTTAAGTAAAGGCTAGCTTTGGGACTTGCTCTAAAGAACGGAATGAAACCTTAAAGAATGAAAAGACTTCAGAGCCTCAGACACACACAGCCTCTGGACTTCTACTCTCAGATCCCTGCTGTCCAAATGAGGAAGCTTGAGCTAAGCTGTCTGAAGATGAGAGGCCGCACTCAGACAGAAGGGAAAGCCAACTTCCAGACATGCAACTGTGGCCCTCCCTCTGGCCTCAATCGGTTGTCATGACTGCAGCCACCAGAGGACCAGCCCAAGTGGCCAAAACATAACCTATGCCTTTTAAAACTTACTTCTAGCAAGTTTTTTTTTTTAAAAAATATTTATTTATCATGTATACAATATTCTGTCTGTGTGTATGCCTGCAGGCCAGAAGAGGGCACCAGAGCCCATTACAGATGGTTGTGAGCCACCATGTGGTTGCTGGGAATTGAACTCAGGACCTTTGGAAGAGCAGGCAATGCTTTTAACCTCTGAGCCATCTCTCCAGTGCCCCCCCCTGCAAGTTTTGTTACAAAAAATAGCTCCTCAAAAACTCCATTTTCCAGAAATACACACTAGTCAGATTTCTGTTGTGATAACAAACACCTGAGACCATGTAAAAAGGAGCAAGTTTGTCTTGGCTGACAGTCTTAAAGGTTCTGGTCCACAATCATTTGACCCTATTGGCATGGGCTTATGGTGAGGTAACCCATTATATCACGGTGTGTACAGGGTTAAAAATCACTTGTCTTCTGGCTAGAAAGTAGAAAACCCGACTAGTCCCTTCAGAGACAAGATGTCAAAAATCTAAAGACCTCCCAAAAAGGCTCTACCTCTAAGGTTTTGCTACCTCTCAACAGCAGCAAGTTGGGTGAAAGCCTGTAATATATGGTCTTTGGGGGTTATTTAAAGTCTGAACAACATAGCAAGGTAAGGAAGTTAGTGCCTCGTACTTCTATGGTATAGATACGATTTCTAAACAATCATTATTAGAGTCTTATATGTCTACCTACCCTTTCATTACTGACACTGCTATCTATCTCTATTACTACTGCTGCTTCTTCTAGGATACAAAATACTTGCATGTACACACACAGACATATACACACACAACACATACACACACAAACACGCACATCCATACATATATACACAACACACATATACACACAGCAAATAATAAAACTTGTATATACACAGATACACACACATACAAACACACACACATATACATACCACAACACACACATACACAATACACATAACACAACACAACACATAGGCACACAACAAACACATACAGAAATATACACACATATAGATACACACAACACATATACACACATACACATATATACACATACATGGATACACACAGCACACATATACATAACACATAGACACACAAAAACATACATACATATACATGCATAGATATACACAACACATACACACAGATACGCACACAACACATACACAAACAACATAAACATACACACATATACATCTACATAAGTACACACAACAGATACACACTCATACACATACATACATACACAACACACACATATGTAAACAACACATACATATATATAACACACATGCACACATACAAAACACACATATGTACACAACATAACACAATACATACACACAAACACATGTACACACAACAAAAAACATACACACAAACACAGATACACACAACACACACATACACATAGATATACACACAATACATATACACACAACACAAACACACACATATACACATACAGAAAATACATAGTTACATACATAGACACAACATACACACACACACACACACAAAACACACACATATACACACATACATACCTCTCACTCAACTGTTCCTGTGGTTTGGAAAGCTTCTTTTACTGTCCACTGTAGCAAGAGCTCTATTTCCAGTTTCATTGGCTCAGTTGGTTCTGCTTCCCCATATCCAGCCTTATGCCCTCTGCTCCTCCAGCCTTGAAGAGTAATGGCTACTTCTTTTGTTACCTTAGCAACTAAGCCGCCATTTTCTGCTCACTCTGGATGTGAAGGGACTCAGTGTTCTGGTTTCATTTAGGTTACTGTCATAAAACGCCCTGAACTTAAGAGAAGAAAGGGTTTATTTGGCTTACAATATCAGGTTATAGTCTACATAGAAAGTTCCAACCCTGCCAGAGTTACATGATAGGACAGTCTATAAATAAATAAAAATAAACTGCCATATTATTTTCTTTCAAACCCCATATTCCTATCTTGATAAATTATCTATTTACTTATATGTGCAAACCAGAAACACCTACTTTTCTCCCCACCTACATGTGATGCGTGAGAGTATCCTGTGGAATCCACACTTTTACCCATCTTCCATCCATTCTATTCTCTATACACAGAGGTACCATTATTTTATCAGCCCCAACTGTAGGCAGACTTCCCTAAGACCTCTCAAGAGTAGCTGAGTCATTAGCTTTTCCTTTACCCTGTCTTTGGCTTTTCCTCGACCCATTCCCATATCACCACCAACAGGAGACACAGTCTCAACTGGGTAGCTTAATTTGAGACATGCAAGACAAGGGCATGACTGTAACATGTGATTGTGTATGTAAGTACGTGTTTGCAAAGGGTAGTTCTTGCTTACAGATAAAGTAAGCAACTCCTCGTCTGCCCCAGGCCTCCTCTGTTTTAGAAATAAGAGCATGCCTAGGCTGTCATAACAAATCAAAGCTAGGATGCCTAACTGGTTTGAAGACTGAAGGGCAAGGATCATGATGTCAGCAGGTTTGACTTTTTCTGGAACATTTTTCTGAGTTAACCATTTTTTTGGTTCTAAGTTGACCTTGCATAAGTACATCCTTGCCACCTCTCTCGTCTGTAAGGAAATTGGCCATATTGGATTAGAGTCCTACCCTATGGCATTCATCAACCTTTGTTACCATTTTAAAGGCTGCCTTCTAATAATAGCCATTTTGTAGAGCAGGACTCCAACACAGGAATTGAAAGAGGCCATGATCCATTAAATCACCTCTGGCAACTAACTGTTCCTGTTTCAGAGAACTGCACCACCATTGACTAACTGCACGGGCTCAACTTGGAAACTTCAAGATTCCTTCCCTCCCCATCCTCCACACAGATCTTCAGCACTCTATCGATGCTTGTTATATAAACTTAGAGATGTGCACACACATCTGTGCACTCAGAAAAGCCCCAATGATGGAAACAAAGAGATGACTTCATCCAAGTAAAGGCTGGGAAACCAGGAAGTTTAAGTGTAGTTGCTTACAAGAATATGTCCAACTTCATTGGTAGCTATACCAAGGAAGGAAAAACACCCTCTTTGCTACCTAAAAGTCCTTGGGGGAAAGTGGGGTCTTACATAGTTCCCCCTACTCTATGATGGAAAGTTAGGAGCCTAACCTAACAGAGTTCCCTTGTGCATAGAAACAAGTGCTGACAGTTCAACAGGACAATGGCCAGGTGGTGCTCAAGGGCACTCTACTAGAGCCATCTCTACAAGAGCCATCTCTACAAGAGCCATCTCTACAAGAGCCATCTCTACCAAGCCTTGTCTCACCACCCCTGCTGTGGACACATATCCTCCATCACCCCATTCTTAGTCTGATAATAGTCTCTTAACTGGTTTACCATTTCCTCTCTTTTTCTACCACAGTTGTTTTCAGGAAATCCACTAGCCTCGTCCCGCAAAGTCAAATAGAACCTGTCACTTTCCTAATGCGAGTGTCAGGCTGCTTCGTTTTCTTGTAGCATAAAGTCCATGTCTGTGCTACAACATTGTGTAGAATGGACGTGGCCCATCTTCTGGGAGCTTTTGAGAACTGGCTTCATGCGGTTTTTGTTTGTGTTTTCATTGATTCGCTGCTCAAATGTAACTTCTGTGATGATGAATTTACCCGAGTTTTCTGTTTAAAGTACATCCCATTCCTGTACCCTTCTTTATTTTCCCTC